GAGAGAGAGAGAGAGAGAGGGAGGGAGGGAGGGAGTGATTGTATAGCATTCAAAGGCCGAGTGGGAGACGACGTTGGGGTTTGTTGCGTTTAAAGCCCGTGAGAGCATGTAACTAAGGATTATAGTGTGATTCAGTCGAAGAGTGTGATTGACTAACTTAGGGTTAAGCGGTCAAAAACCATTTTCACTGGGCATAGGGCACTACCATTGAGGGTTTTTAATTGGTCATCTCTTGTTGAGATTAGAGTGATGCCTAGGGATGGTTTGTAGGCTGGAGAACTCTGTGGTCACTCGTGTGTGGATGTAGACCTGTGAGAGCGAGGGCTAAATCGTCAAGAAATTTCTGCATGGAGTGTATACATGTCAGTCGCATATACTGGGAAGCAACCCTAAAAGGGATACATGCACATGTGTGCGGAGAGCCCTCCTTGCACTATAATGATATTTATGTGTGACTTGCTCTTAAGGGGGCAACATGTAATTTGCATTCTAGAAACATAATTTTGCTATTTATTGGCCAGCTTTGATGGGCCAATTATAAGCATGAGACTGTGGGTCATGGGTCTCGTTGGGTTCGTTTGTGAAGATAGTCGAGGTTCAAGGTTACTGGATCAAGTGAAGTGCCTTTACAATCACTTTTCTTGACCCTTAGTACGACTCCACTCCAATTTTTTTTTTTTTACAATTTAAGAAAATTTTTCTGAAATTTTTAGAGATTATTTTCAGCAGTAAAACCCCTTAAAGGACATTTTAGGTAATTTCTAAGATTATGGTGGGGTTGGTAGGAACTCGTGTTGGGCCATTGGATCCAGCCCCATGTTAGTCACACCCACATGTGTGGCATGTGGAGCCCATAGGGGCCTACACGTCACTCATAAAGTGGGATGCCCCCCTTCTCTCTCTCCTTGAAATCATTTTAAAATAAAAATAAAAGAGTTGGTTTTAGTTGGAAAGCTTGAGGAAGTCTTTGAAAAAGATTTGTGTCATTATTTTGTGTGAGCAACAGACCATTTTGTTTTTTCAAAATATTCTTCAAATCCTTTACCAAATCTTCCAACTTTGAACTCCGACAATCTTGTAACAGATAGGGGAATTCTAGAAGATTTGTTTTTGATTGGTCTTATCCTAGGTTGACTAGAAGTGGATATGTGTCAAAGATTCAAGGGATAAGGTTCCTAGATTCCTCCCTAAATTATAATGACTGATTGTTGGGATGGATGACTCAGATTTTTGTTCCTCTCTCAGCTTAGAGATTACCTGATATCCTATTGGTCATGATGAGTCATAATTAGATAAGGACTACCTAGCGGGGGGGTGCTTTCCCATTCTCTACATAAGTTTCTAGCCTCTCTCTCTGCTCCATGCACGCCATTCTTCTCTCTTTCTCTCTATGGACCCAGAGGGGTAGCAAGTACCACCAAAGGAAGCTGGGGGGGGCACACTACCTGCTAGTTAATAAGAGGGGCAAGCCCAGCCCTTGGATGACCAAGGGAAGTGCTACTTGTGACATGCCCTAGAAAGGTCCAAAAGGGGTCTAAAGAAACCCTAGTTGTTGTATATGCTCTCAAACCCTAGACCTAAAACGTATTTCCTAAGAAAGCTTTCTGACTTAGAAAATTCAGCAGGACCAATGGGATCAGAGTGAGCCATTAGTCAGGCAATCGGGTATGGGGTGTACCAAGTCTTTAGGGGGTGAACCTAGATAAAGTCAAGTAAGTCTTCCCGGCTCTCCAAGTTTATTTTTCAGTAATTATTCTTCAATTTGATTGTGATTTCCAGGAACATTATGTATCAGAATTCTTCGTTTAAGATTGTATTCAGTCCCTGGATTGTGTCAAATTTATTTGGCAATAAAAAAAAAGATACTAGGTTGTATGTAGGGTTTTTATTTCTTGTTTACAGTAGTATTTTGTGGCTCTTGTAAGTGGAATTCAGATGCATTAATAAAAGAAAGGAGAAAATTTTTTGTTTTACTTCTTGGAGTTCGACAGAGCCACTTCTTTCAATAGGTGACATGAAAACCATAGAAGGGCCTAAGAATAAGCGAGTCACTAACCTTTTTTTCAAAGTTTTCAAACTCTGCTCCGGTCTCGGACTCGGCCCTGGCTCGAGCCAGGTAATTTGGCCAAGTTTGGACAGGACAAAAACAACTTAGAAATGTAATTTTTTTTAAAAAAATTACTGAAAAAAAGAAAAAAAGTAAAATAAGCAATAGAAATCATCAAAAGTTTATAAAAGTCCAAAAAAGTATATAAAAGATGGATTATTGAAAATTTCGAATTATAACTTGAAATATTCAAAAAGCTAAAACAAAGATTGAGCATGTAAAAAGAAAAATTTCCAGAACTTCTTAAAAAACCTTATAAATCATATACAAATCATTTCTCAATCATACATTTAAGATTTTTTTAACAAAAATTGGAAAATTTTAATAATTTTAAATAGGGGCAAGTTGGCCCCAGGAACTCGCCTCGGCTATAGGCCTAGGATGAGTTACTTAATTGAGTCCATTTGGAGTTGGCAGAGTCTTGAAATACTGATTTTTATATGTAAATATGAGGCTGTATAATGTAATGAAAAGATTTATTAAATTGGATGAAAACTTGTGACTGTGTTTTAATGAGTGAAATGAAAATGTGTGATTGTAATATATGAGGTTGCTAATTATGAAAACTTGTGACTGTGTTTTAACAAGTGAAATGAAAATGTGTGATTCTAATATATGAGGTTGCTAATTTTCCTGTATGACTTTATTTCTTATTTTGTAGCATATGTGATTCCCGAGAAAAACTAAGCATTGTGGACTTCAATGGTCTGTCTTTCGGGAAAATGGATAAGCCCCTTTGGAAGACAAGGCAGCATTTTGGAAGTGGAAGAACTTATTTTTTTCTTTTTTTTTTTTAAAGGAATTAAAACTTACTGATTTGGCACCGTTGGTTTTGTATGATTAACTAGTTAATAGCCTTTAAGTGTCCTCTATGTGCTGCATATAGTGTTGGACAAGGATTTAGTGAAGTGTGATGTGCTCGATTTGCCATCAGAGTTGCACAAGTATAAGGCAATCATCATGCTGTTGAACCCTAACCGATGCCTCAGTATGGGTGGTTATCAGGTTCTTATTGCATGTCCGAATGATATTTTCTTTGCATCTCGTACTCTGGTGTTTCATTATTAAAAACGAATTGCTTGTCCTATCCAGGCCACATTGCACCTTGCTAAGGCGCCATGACCTTGTTGGCAAAGGCTGACAAAGTAGATTACTGATATCTCCCAAGTACTTTGATGGTCTTGGAGCCTGGGAGACACATGTAGACCATCACTTCGAGTTTTTATAAGCATTTTCCAGTACTTTGCAATAACTCTATTGAAAGCTCAATTCTTATTACAAATTCAAGATATTGCTTGGGACTTGAGTTTTTTTATAAATAAAGACCTAAAATTGAAATCAGTTATTACTCTACAAAAACTATTACACATATGGTTTATTGGTAATCTGATGCTGTTATAGTGTCACTAAATGTGTTGCTGACATTTGAAAGTGTTATTTTCAAATTGTGCTTGGTTGTTGAAAAATTTGTTGTATACAACATAGTTCAGTTCACACACAAACTTGTGATAATTATAATTCCATACCGTCCGCCTAATACAGCTTTTTTCCAGGTATTGGTAGGAATCATGTGAAATTAGGTCTAATTGCAACCTTGCTTTTATATTCACGAGGAACACAACATCCTAGCTTATGCTCTGAGGCTCTCCAGGTATTTATGCATAATGTATATATTTGTTTCAAAATGTAACTTCATGCAACCTACATCCTTGACTGCATCATCACATAATTCTTATAGTGGTTAATGTGCATTTGTCATTTTATGTGCCTGAAATAGAGACTGCATGTGTTTAGGGACTTAAAAAATATGCTGTTTGGGGCAATTGTGGAAGACAAGTTTTTTCCTTAGATGGACAGGGTTTTTTTTCTTTAGGTTGGTGGATTTTTTTTTTTCTTTCTTTTTTTTTTTTTGGGCGGTTGATTGGGGGTTGGGGAGGGGGATTAACACCAGAGATTTCGCCTGTAGGAGAGTCATAGTTGTGAAGGAATATACTTGTTTTCTCACGTGTTTGCCTGTTGGTTCAATTAGTGTTTGATTTATAAATATTTAGTTGATATATTATTTCTATGACATACGGGAAACTTGCTATTTGTAATATTTTTCAACGACCTTTGGGCAACAAATATTTTCTTTGGTGGAAGTTACATGTTAGAATAAAATAATGGTAGTTCCTGTAGACTCACATGGATGCACCCATGCACACACATCACATACATAGGGTCTTGAGTATCTTTTTCATTTGAGCAAAGTGATTTTTTTCCCCCCACATGTCAAATAGCTCAAGCCTTGACTTATTTTCACTAAAAATCTGGATTAAGGTAAATTTGCATGCATGAGAAGTTGCTTTGACCTGTTCAGCATCTTTTGTTCATTCATTGTTACGAAGATTAGTGTGTGGTAATGTTAACTTTCATCAAAAAAAGATTAGTGTGTGGTCGAATTGATAAATTGTCCAGTTCCGTGGTTGGAGTGTTGGAGGCTGTTGAAATGCATAGAAGCATGTAATATTGTAGATGTTTCTATTATATATGTAAAGAACAATTACCAGAAATTCAATGCTGATGATTAAAATGAAAAAGAAAAAAAAGAAAAACCTCAAATTAAAGGCCGTATTATGATTAAAGAGCTCTTCGGGACAAAATTACTATTTTTAATTCAAGATGAGCTGCATTAATAAATGGACACAAACTCTTATATAAGGAAGAGGATTTCTTCACCACTATAACAGCAGCGGCAGTTGGTCATTATCCCTGTATTTCACTATAGCACATTATTTTGTTTGTTATTTGCCTTGTTTTCAACGAAAGGCAGTTGTTTCCATCATAAAATGAGCGAGCCCTGGCCATTACTTTCTGATTGTTTGCAAGTTTCAGTTTATATTGGTTTTTGCGTTATGCTTAGTTCCTAGATTTTTGTGTACTTTTGGTTTTTATACTTGCAGGTTCTTAGAGCTGTAATACACAACTATCCCGAAGTAATGTCTGCTTGTTGGGAGCGAGTGTCTTGTATTGTTTATGAATTGCTAAAATTATCAAGCTCAGGTGGTACAAGCTATGAAATTCTGCTGAAGCCATGTAAAGGGGATTCTGGTACAGAAAGATTTGTTGTGGCAGCCATAAAGGTAAAGATGTGTGATCTTGCTAGTAAAATCATACATTGTGTTGCTTTGAAACGGTGAACTTCATGTGGTTTATGCGCTCCGCTATTTGTGCATTGCAGGCTAAGATGATGTTTCTATGCTCATATTTGCATATAAGTTGCCATCTGGATGCATTTCAGCAGAAACTCTTTAGTCTGGATTGGGGTCATCAATGATATAAAACGCTTCATTCGGTTCCTCCATGTGGAAAGAGACTGTGCATGAGCACATATATAGTTTTTGTCATATTTAGATGCTACTAATCTTTAAAATGCTGGACATATTGACACAAACAGTCTAAGTAAATGGACCATCTAGATAGAAATGCCGATAGTTAAACAATCTATCGATCCATATTTGTTTGGAGTTCTAGCACATGCTTTAATTGAGTTTAGAGTATCTCATACCATAGTTTCTGGGATTCTACGAACTTAGTGGCCATCACACTCCGGAATCTTGCTCTTGTGCTCCACAAAAGGGATCTTCAAGGGATCTCATTTTTTAAATTTTGAGATCTCGATCCCCACCTTAAAGACCGAGATAACGACCGAACTGATGATTTTTTTTTTATATAGCTGGCTAACAATGCAATTATATTTTTAATATAGTAGCATCCTTGCTGGCAAAAAGATCCGATTTAAAGAGTATATATAGTTCTATATAATCTTCAAGGTTGGGAGCAAGACCAAGGTCTTGATTGAGAGCTCCAAAAGGGTGGGATCAAGATCCAACATTTAGGGATCTCAATCTCCAATATGTGCATTGTACAAATGGTTTTACCGACCATATGGATCTTCTAGTCTTTCACTATCGCCTATTCCCGATCCCATTCTCGCTCCAGATCCCACTTTCAACCCCGACGACTATGTAGCATACCCTTTTTTGAAGGGGAAAGGTATCATTAAAATCATGGGGAGGAGTTAGTATTAGTAGTTAGCAAGCAATTGGTTAGTTGAGAATAGTGCAGGGAAATTATTTTATCCTGAGTATAGGGCTGAAATGGACTGCATGGTTGTCTCTCTACTTGTCTATGTCACTGTCACACTGTCACATATTGAACTATGTCAGGAAATAATAGGAGAGAAATTGTGTAAACATTTCAAATACTAAGAGAAATTGTGCAAACAAATTTATGCCATTGGCATCATTAGGTTCAACTTGGCCAATAAGAGTCAATGCATTCTAAAAGTCAGTCATCATCATCATTTTAGCCTTTCCCAATTAATTGGGGTCGGCCACATGAATCCTGGTTTTCCATTTTGCTCTATCAAAAGGTCATATCCTCAATGAGGCCATAAGTCTTCATATCCTTTCGGACTACTTCCAAACACGTCCTTTTGGGCCTACCGCTTGCCTCTTTCAGGCATCCTAAAAGTCAGTATGATTGTGAATATGAGCATGGCGTGAACCACCACTTTCTTTTGGGATATGTTGTTCAATGCTCAGTAATATATGTATACTCAAATATAAAAAACATTGAAAGAGTGTGGGCTATATTGCCATGTCAAGTTGGTTCTAGGGCATTGCCGATAGAGCTTTCCTTTTTGTAATTTTATTTCACCTTACATATCTGATGAATGAGCTTGATTAGCAAACTGCCCTATGATTACTTTTGAGCACTATGTGCTACTAGGTTATATACAGATTCCAAAGAACATGTGAGAACCATAGTTGTTGGAGGCGGGAGTGGGATTGGTTGGGGGAACACCGAAAGACCATGGTGGAAGCTCCTTGGGGTCAGAACTTAAGACTAATATCCGTACATTCAACAAGTTAAGGAAGCAAATCCTAGGAAACTTGGGAGAGGGATCCCATGTCATTTGGGAGGGATGTAAGCTCAACTATACATGAAAGAGATCATTTAGTAGTATATGCTAAAAATATGATCGAGCCAATGCCCACTCAATCCATTATCATACACCTTAGCTTATTACCAATGTCATAGTAATAGTACTCCAATTTACTATTATAATACAATTTAATAATATCGTAAATTGACTTACTATGATAATAAATTGTAGTTTTCTAATACCATAAATCTAGTCAAGACGGTATGATATGTACCACGGTTTAACATATTCTAGATAAATAAATTTATAATTCTAAGGAGAGGAGCAGTAGTTCAATTAATTGCGTAGCTTCTCTCCTTGGAGGATTCTACAAGCATGTTGACCGAAATTGCATTTTATAGGAACCGATATTCCTATTTCTCTAAACCTAGCTCCCGTTAAGATCTGTTTGAGGAACTGCAGGATCGAGTTCCTAAGGTGGGACCGCATCCTTTTCCCCAAGGTTCCCACAACTATGGTGAGAACCATTATCACAAGGTCTGCGTCCTATAATGGAGTTATCTTTCGTTATGCTAGTTGCTTTCTCGAATGAGATGCTATTTTTGTTGTGTGTGAGCCAATGTTTGCAAAATCGACCGGAACGGTTAACTGGACATGGGGCTAGGAGCAGTTCGAATCGGAACCGGACTAACCGGGGTGGTTAACTGAACTAACTGGTCAAGTAGATTTTTTTTAAAAAAAATGGGTCAAAACCCCCCCCAAAAAAATGAATTTTTTTTTTTTAAAATAGAAAAACATAGATTAAGTGTATACTATCATATTACATATATTTATTGTACAAAAAAAAAGTTGAAACAAATTTTTATATAAATTAATATTTGAATACTATGGAGATATGGAAGACAATTTATAAATTTGACATAAATTCAATTGATAAAGTTACAAAGTCCAACTAACAATCGCTAGTAGTAATGAGAATAGTATGTGATTATAAATCAACTTGATTTGAACCATTTTTTAAGCCTAAAATTTTATAATTAGACATGAAAATAGATTTTAATCTTATTATAAAATTTGGTGGTGCGCCTTATTTTGATGTTTTAAGGTACATAATTGAGGGCTTAAACAATCAAAGTAAAATGCACCTTGAAATAGTATTAAAATTCAAATGGTGCTGTTTCAGTATTGAAAATCTTGATGACATTCTCAAAATCCATTTTTATCTCTAATTAAATAATTTTAAAATTTAGAGCTTCAAAATTGGTATATATCGGGCTTATCTATAAACACTAAAAAGTCTTGAAAATTGACTATCTAGAAAATGTATTACAAAATGCACTATTTCTAAAATACATTACACTATGCACTATTTCTAAGACTGAAAACCTACTACTATAATATTAAAAATATTGAGCAAAAAATAATCAAAGCAAAAGATCGAGCAACATTATCATGCACTTCTTTATTTTTTGTTAAAAAAATGTAACATTAAAAATAGAAGAATTAATTTTTTTGTCATATTCATCAAATGTAATTTTATCAAAAAACATAATTTTATTAAGAAAATTAGAAAAACATTTCACTTATTCATCATAAAACATAATTTTATTACGCGAAATATTTTTTTTTAGAAAAATTGATATCCCAAAAAACCCTAAAATCGAGCTGCAAATGTTTGTTTTTGTTAACCAAATTCATTCTTTTATTGAATGCAATGAATAATTTCAGTCAAATATTGTCTGAAAAATCCTAAAAAGGCTGAAAAATTAGGAAACAAATTTTTTTAAAAAATCGGGTTGGAGCTTACCTTATTTTCTTCCTACTCAAATGAAGCTTCAATCTCAAAATCAAGCTCGAAATCTCTCGATTTCAATGAAATCAGGAGTATAGAAATCTGGATATATCTGTGATCATTAAAAGCCCCCTAATTTTATCGAAAACAAATAAAAAACCAGTCTAAAATCCATAGATTTGTGAATTTTTCATGGAAATTTGAAGAACACCGAAATAATGCCCAAGAAATTGCAATTTCGAGCCCGAAATCTATGGATTTTGTTGAAATCAGGAATGTATTAGTCTGACCATCTCTTTTGTCTACAAAAGCTCTCCCTTGGGATCGAGAAAAAATCAACAACGCCAAGAACTTTAGATTGGCGGATTTTCATCAAACTAATGAAGAACAAATAAATAATGCCCAAGAAAACTTGAAATTCGGTGGTTTTTTATCTCAAATCGACTATTTTATAGAGTAACATTAATAATTTCGTTCAAATTATTTTCTTTAAAATCCTTAAAAGGATGATAAAGTTCGTAAATTCAAATCAATCTTGAACCCAAAGAAAACCTGTGGGTTCTTTCAAAAATAACGGGCCCTGTATCAAATAACGGAGCTGTTATGTAACACCGTTATATATACTGTTATAATGTTAAAAATGGTTTTATGAACAAACCGGTTCGGTTAGGTAAAAAACCGGCTGGTTAGAATGAAAATCAAGCGGTTCGAACAGGTTCCGGCCTGTTTTGGCCCAGAGATTTCTTGGGGAGGTTTGTCCTATAGCTAATACTCTAAAACCGGTGCTAACCGGAATTGGGAGGGTACCGGTTCCGATCTAACCAACCGGTTCCGGTTTGAACCGACCGATTTTTCAAACACTGGTGTGAGCCATAGTTGTTGGAGGCTAGAACTGAAATGGGAGTGGAGGATTGTTGCTTGCTAGGAGTTCCTTAGTTTGGTTGTGCTACGAGGGCATAGAATAAATATATAGAACAAGGGAAATTTTACAAGTAATTTTATCAAAATATATGTAGATGCAAAATTAATATATTAGAAATATATTTACTTATATTTACATTAAATTTATTCAAATAAAATTTGAGAGTAATAACTCATATTTATTTACTCGAGTATTCTCGCGTATAAGTCCTTCACAATGACATTCTAAAAGTAGTTGTCTGATCTTAATTTAAAGGAAAAAGTTTATATAAGGTTGCAACCTTTTTGTTTTGAGTAAAGTTAACTTTTGTATTGCTAGGAGAAGTTAGATTACATATGTGTGGTAGTCCGAGAGAACCCTCTAGGCGGGTCTCTCGGTAAATCATAGGTCAGCAGACCCTTTGCAAAAAATGGGCTTATATACTTGCCCGATTACAAAGGATTTACAGTAGGTTCACAAAAAATTGGGCTTATAGAATTGCTCGATTACAATGAGATGTTCTACGTTGTTTGCCCTTTATGGTCCAGACTAAAAAAGGAGATGGACCGGGCGTGGTCTTCTTCTTGGGTCCTACCCCATCTTTCACTAGAAGATTGGCGAACTCGTTGGACGTCCTCTAGATATGCTTTCATGAGATGACCATATCCCTGTAACTGTAAACAATTTCATAAAAAATCGAAGCTCGGTACCATAGAGGTGGTGTCGTCCCGGTTGCCTAGGAGATAATATTGTGTGCATGTCCTTCCACTAACAGCTGTGGTCCCTAGGAATGGCCGAAGCTTTTGAGACCTAACAACAGGGCCATGGCTTCACCTAAAAAATCCATCGGAAAGGTTGTTTTAGTGTTGAAAAACCCTCTAATTGATCATCTCGACATCGAGATGTATGAATATAAAAATAAAATAAAAATTGAGTCCCAGAATTAGTGCATCTTCAACACATTATCTAGATCGTCCATTTTCAAGATTTTTAGATATTTATAGATCTACTTAATTTTAACTACTTTTGGAGTTTAAAATTTTATAATTAGATAGAAAAATAGATTTTCAGATAATGCTAGAAGCTTTTACATCAAAATTGCATGTTATGATGAAATTTGGAGGTGCGCCTTAATTGGATTGTTTAAGGTTGCAACCTTGTAGAAACCACACCCTAATTTAAATGATAGTCAAGGATATTATTTCGGTTAAATAATTTTGGCCCTTGATAGAGTGGAATGATAGAGCAAGATTCGTGTAGCCAACCTCAAATAGTTGGGATAAGGCTTGGGTGATGATGATGAAGATATTATTTTGGTCAAATCATATACGTATCATGTCTATTTCTTCACATATTCCCCTTTATTTTATCTATTGAGAAAAACCTCAAACATGATATGTATTGAGTAAATAAATATAAAGATATAGAGATAGACAGAGAGATCACCTCTTGCTTATGCACATTTCAGAAAGCTAAAAGGTCAAAATCCCATAACTATTCTAATGTTGGACCCGCATCATTCCATACATAAAATGCGATTTTGTGATTGACGTGGATTTGAGAATGTCTTTTCCTTTGAAAAATATACAAAACATGGATTTGAATAATTAATATTTTTCTTGATGTGCATTTATTACTTCTCTATGGATACACATTATTGCTTTCTTTTTTTAGTTGATATGCTTTTATTGCTTCCTTTTCTATAATAATATCAAAAATATGGGTGTGTGATTCTATTGACTGACTTGTATTGCAAGGGATCATCCTTCCCGAATATGGTATCATGGCTAGACTACGATCCCACTCCATAATAGCAGGAGGTTGTTGAAGCGGTATCACAACCTATATATCAACATCCTAGTAACTAAGGGATGGACTATAGAGCATGTTTGGGTGTTCACTCCTTAGGGATATTCATCCATATATACCATTATACATAAGGAAAAATATATACATAGATGTACTTTTTATCTAGCTATTATCAAATAGCCGGTGTCCACAATGATTTTACACAAGCTGGGTTCCAAAGCATCTCAAGTATATGCCTTCTGGTACTAAACCTGCACACTAAGATGAAAATAATAATAATAATCCTGAATGGTGGTTAGGGATTTGGTCCACTTTTGGCGGACTGCTATGGTATCCACCCTAGCTCAAACCATAGCCAGGGAGACCCTTTGGAACCAAGTCTTTTGGGATAATCCATACTCATTCCATCCTCCAAGCCCAAAATAAAGTTATTTTAATAAGCACACTGGGGGTGCATAAAATGAAACCAACCCAACTGGGATGCTGATCCATCCATTTTATGGATGTTCAGACCTAGTTCAGAGAGGACCCAAACTTAATTTTTTTTTTTTGGAATGTTGATTAAGGGATGATGAGATAATCTACTAATTTGGGGTCAAACAGAACCTAAGTTCTCAATCCAATACCATTATAGTATGCTTCAAATAGATGGCTCCGATTTACTATATTTTCTCGGGGTTCTTTTTGAAATTTCTTTTCATGATCTTGGTTGTTGTATCCAAGAGAGTGTGTGCAAAATTCAGGCTGAACAATTGTCTCTAAGGCTGTCAAAAATAATGTTTGTGGTCCAACCTAAGGTGTGTGTGTGGGTGTGTGTCTCTCTCGCTATATATATAGCTTTATCCCAACTATTTTGGGTCGGCTATATAAATCCTGTTCTGCTATTTTGCTCTATTAAGGACCATACCCTAAGTCACCATATTGTTTTGTACTACTTCCATCCATGTCCTTTAGGACCTGCCCCTTGCCCTTTTAGAGCCTTTCACTTGAAACAACTCGAACCTCCAAATCGGTGTTGTATATATATTACACACATATAGCTACACCCCATTTGGTGTGAGGCCTTATCGTTTTCAACAAAAAGTTGACCTGAACATCCAAAAAGGCGCAATGCACTGTGTTGTTTATAAGGGCCTATTAGTCCTTTGTAACGATTTAAAAGTTTTAAGAAGATGAAGAGAGAGAGAGAGAGAGAGAGAGAGAGAGAAGAAAATGCAGATGCTTTAAAAACTCCAAAACACATTCATTCCATGATTTCAAACTTTGAGTGGCCATAGTTGGCTTGAACTGTTTCCATTGCATATTTCTAGTTCAGAAAACTCTAGAATCACTAAAAGTAGATCCTAGGAATTTCTTCAATCAAACACTGAGCCTGAGAAATGTCAAGGAACTCAAACCCGAAATTGACAAAAAGCAATGTAACTTAATTGCAACTTAAACTAATGAATTACAGATTAAAAAACCTACGAAGTTCTCCAATCAATGAACTGCAAAGTACATCCTCATGAAATCAACAGAGGATCCTTAAATCGTTAGAGTACTAAAATTCCCTTCCATAAATAGTTGCATCGCATCCTTTGGATATTTGTGGTTAACTTTTTGTTGAGTATGATAAGGTTTTACACTGTGTGTGTATGTGTGTTCGTGCATGGGTGCATGCTATAGTTACCAGGATCTTTTGAAAAGAAGGTTGCTCTCGCTCTGGAAGCTCAATCATGTGCCCCGAGACATGGGATCTCAATTCTGGTCATTTCCCTCATTAAGGATCTCGATCTGGGAAATCAAGGAATTGGATCCCAAGTTAATGGGATCCAGATCGCCCGAAATCATGGTTCCATAAGTGACTAGAACAATGATTTCACCAACTTGGAATCAAAGAACTTCTATTTGGGAGCGAGTTTCACAACACATTTTCAAGTTCATATACAATGGAGTGTGGATCTCGAATTTTTTATGACCTACAAACCTTCTAAAGGATTTGATTTCCTATATATTTTACAGTTTACAACTATACACAACTTGTGAATTGTGACTTGTGACTAGTTCCAAAGAAAGGTAACAAGAGAGGGCAAGGAGAGAGAAGGACTTTTATCTCTTGAGTGTTGGTCGCCCAAATTGACTTACTCATAGGCTTGTCTTATAGGTGATGGAATAACATATATGCTTGCAAATGTAAGGTCTCTATTGTTTTTATGTCGTTGAGCCCCTAGCAATCGTTGATGAAGGAGAGCTATGAGATTATACATAACAATGCTTTCCTCTTTTTCTTAATCATCTATTGCAACACTTCTTTTTTGAAAACATCTATCATAGCATTCTTAAATATAATTAGCGATATATAGTTGAGGGGGAATCGCCCAATCCAACCAATTGTACCAAAAATGAGGTTGTGTGCGTACTTAGCCAGACCAATATTGGTAGGTGTGAAATTTTTGTAATAGACGCACATGAGTAATTTTTCTGGCTTGCATAAATAATTGTTCAATGGAATTCGATCCTGAACTAGAATACTATGGATAAATGATCTTGGGGACCTCGATCCTAAGCTTGACGGTCCGCGATCCCATTCAGTTTAGCATTTGCTTATGGGCAACTATGGGACATGCTCCCTTAATGTTGGGATCTCAATGCCTTTACAATGTATGGAACTCGTTCCCTGAACTACCGAGATCTTCAAACCTCCCTAGCTCCTGCGTTCATGTTTCCTACGCCGAAGCTAACCTTGCTTCAATGCTCCCATTCCTGGTAATTATGGTTCATTCATGATTGCATGCTTGCTTGTGCAGATGCACACTGGTTTGGGTGTGGGTGTGGGTGAAGTAAGAGTGAGTGTGTGTGTATGTGTGTGCATGTGTTTGTGCGTGTGTTGATTTTCTAGATGAGATCTACACGTGCAAAGTTTGGGGTCCAACTGACCCCTACTTCTCAAACAAAGTGTCTTATATTACAGTATAAGCCTGTTGGGTTATGTATTCTATTCCCATATATAATATATATCATATGTTCTTACATTTTTTTCCCTTAATACTTGCTCTATTATCTAATAGCCTGATTGCCCTCTTGGTCCCAAGCTTAATTCTGACGTTAGATATTGGTTAGAATGCATCTTAGATATATCTGAATAGTGATAGAGTACTTCAGTTTAATACATTAGTTTCTCCACAAACAGTAGCACTTCATTGGAATGGACTGAATGCAGTTTCAATTAAAAGTCCCAGTGTTTGTATTTGGGCTTCTTGATTGTTCACTGTCAGCAGATCCATGTTTTTGCATTGCTTTTATTATGGATGATCCTTTATTGAGAGATTTTCCTCTTGATCAACCGCATTTGTGTTTATTGATATATGTTATCTATGTTTTAACACGCAGTTCCTTGCAGTACTTTATTATGTTCTTGCATGATGTTCTCTAGTTAATTGTAGCCGACTTGTATTTTTCAGGCATTGGATGAATTGCTTAGAGCGGTATCTGGATTCAAAGGCTTGGATGATATCATCGATGACAGACCAATGGATTCTCTCTTTGTTTCCAAGATTCCAAGAAAAAGCACAGTATATTCAGCTCCTTTGTTAGGTGTAATAGATGGCAAGGAAGTCTTTAAAGCAAGTTCAATTTCTGATACACCAGGAAGCAAAGAGTGGAATGAAGTGATTGAGAAGCATCTCCCCATGTGTCTGTTAAATGTTGCTCCAATGGTTGGTATTTTAATGTTAACTTCGTACTTATGTCCATACAAGAAAAAATGATGATAATTATTTTGGTTAGCTATGATTTTTTATCAGTGTACAATATCTGTTCAATTTTTTATCTGCTTTTGCTTATCATTTGGACTGTTTGTTTGTCTTGTATGCACATCATCCATCTGTACACAGATCCTACATCCTTGTGGTGTTGGAGTTGGAGCTTCCAGTCTCCCACCCTGAGACGTGGATTGGGTTGTGTTCTTAATATTTAGTTCCTGCTGATATAACTAGGCGCCATTTAAGTGTTTGGTCAAATTTGTTTTGTTATTAGGGGATTGTAGCATGTAATGCATTCTGTCAATTGCTTCGCTGGATTCAACAGGCACTTCAGTGACCTTTCTGCCTTTGTAGTCTGGTAGTAAAGCTGAGATGGACATGTGGAATCATTGATGTTTGACGGTTTTGGAGCTTTTAGGGCATGACGCATGTAGTTGAGTTCTCTTTATCGAATCAAATATTTTATTAACCAAGGTTCCAGAAAACCTTCGCCCTTCTTCAGTGCGGATACTAATAAAACTGTTAATCAAGAGGTGTTGTTGTTCACACTAAGCTTCGGCAAAGATTTCATTTGCTACACGTACCCACAACATTGAATTCCACCCTTGAGTAGCATTTAAACATGGTATCTTCATGGTTGTGATTCTATTATTGAAAGATAGCTATGTCTGCTGATGGTTCTCCGTGGTTGTTTGCTTGCAGATACGATCTGCTGCAATAATTTGTTTTGCTGGCTTAACATCCTCTGTATTTTTCTCCCTCTCCAAGGACAAACAGGATTTTGTGCTTTCTTCTGTTGTGAGTCTCAGTTAATAACCTTTTTCTTATTTTCCTAGTGTTTCATGCCATATTGCATGCTACTGATTCTGATCTGACCATTAGTTTTTTTGCTGAAAAATATATGTAGGTTAAGGCAGCCTTGTTTGATGAGATTGCAGCGGTTAATGCAGCATCATGTCGAGCAATAGGTGTTATATCATGTTTTCCTGAAATACCACACAGGTTGTGATACATTTTCATGTCTAGCAGTCACATCGATAGGCCCATTTATTTGTTTTACTTGTGGAAACTGATTTGGTTGTGTTCAACTTACGAAATCCTTGCCTTGTAGTGCGGAGATTATGGATCAGCTTATCCATGCTATTGAGGTTAACACTCACAATGCATTAGTTTCGGTATGTACTAAACTAAGTTCAAAGTTTTGATCTTCCAATTTCTTATGTATTCTTTTATTGGAATATTTGTGCAGATCTTTTGATTAATATCATCTTGTGTAAATGTTCCCTTGTTTAGGTGCGGATCGCTGCCTCTTGGGCTTTGGCAAACATTTGTGATTCTCTTCGCTATAGTGCTAGCAATCTGCAGTCAGGGAAGTGTTCATCAGGTAAATAAATAGTTTGATGGTACACATGAAGTCTTTATCTGTGGGTCTATTTTTACTCAGTCTAACGGCTATTTTGTTTATGATGTCAGGTCCAAATACGAACCATCACCGTGCATCTGTTTTAGCTGAATGTGCTTTGCGGTTGACAAAGGATGGGGACAAGGTAATAAAACATTGCAAATGACCTGTCAACATAAAAGCGATATTAGAATGGGAGGTTATACATACTCTTTTTTAAAGCAAAAAGTTTTAAATACTCGTGGCCTTGATAACCTAATAATCGTGCTTAACATTATATAAACGTTCCAATATATTTTTCATTATGTTACACTTGTGGTTATGGATGTTTACGGAAAAAGATGGAAGAGAAGGGGCGAAATTAATTGGTGTCCAATAATTAGGTAGTGAAATTTTAAAAATGAGAAAATAGACTTATTTAGGGATAAATTTGTAAAAGAATGAAAATAGAACTCTGAACACGAAGTTAATGTTATGTTTAATGAGTAAAAGAATGAAAATGGAACACTGAACGTGAAGTTAATATTATGTTGAATGAGATGGCTAACGCTATTAAGAAAGTGACAAAAGTAGTTTTAGGAGAAAATAGAGGGAAAAGAAATTCTGATTAGGAAATTTGGTGGTAGAGTAATGAGGTTTTGAAGGCCATAACAAAAAACGATCATGTTAAAACTTGTCAATGTAATAGATATAATCAAAACTTAGAAGAATATAAAAATGTTAGAGGATAATGCTAAGAAACTAGTAAGTAATGCTAAAACTAAGGCATAGGACAATCTGTATGATAATATTGGAACAAGAGATGCTGAAAAAGATGTCTTTAAACTAGTAAAAATGAGAGAGAGGAAGTATAGGGATCTAAACTATATTAAATGCATTAAGAGCGAGGACTATAGGATGTTGGTGGAGGATGACAAGGTCAAAGAAAAGTGGAGAGTTTACTTTAAAAAATTGTTCAATGACGAGTACAATAGGAACACAGCGCAAGGAGAAACCTTTGGCATAAATGAGGGTGCTGGTGATAGACACATTTACAGGATTAGTATATATGAAGTGAAATAAGCTTTGAGGAGGATGAATATAGGAAAGGCTTTAGGACCAAGTGGTATGTTGATAGAAGTTTGGAAGTACATTAGGGAGATTAGCATATGCTGGTTGACCAAGTTGATTGACAAGTTGTTGAGAACAAAGAAAATGCCAGTGAATGGAGGAAAAGTATTGTGGTACCTATTTATATAAACAAAGAAGACACATAGAATTATAGGAATTATCGGAGGATCAAACTTATGAGTCGTACTATGAAGCTGTGGGAGTGAGTGATTGAGCAACGAGTAAAGCATGAAATGAGTGTATCAAAAAATCAATATGGTTTTATTCCAGGGAGGTCAATTGTGTCCATATTTCAACTTAGACAACTGATTAAAGAGTTTAGGGAAAAGGGAAAAGGGAAAAGACCTCCACATGGTCTTTATTAATTTAGAGAAGCTTAATATAGAGTTCCTAGAGTTTTAATTTGGTAGGTGTTGGAAAAGAAAGGAATCTTCAGATCCTATATTGACATAGTGAGAGATATGTACAAGGGAGCACTAACTAGTGTGCCACAGCTAATGGAGAGACTAGTGATTTTTTAGTAACAATAGGCTTATGTTAAGCGTCAGCGTTGAGCTCATATCTCTTTGTTTTAGTTATGAACGAGTTAATTGGGCACCTACAAGATGAGGTACCATAGAGTATGTTGTTTGCGGATGATATAGTTTTGGTTGAGGACACTAGAAGCTGCTTCAGCGCAAAGTTAGAACTTTGGAGGGATGTTCTAGAATCTAAAGGTTTTAAAATTAGCCGAATTATGACAGAATATATGGAATACAAGTTTAGTAATAATAGGAGCAGAAACAAGGAAGTAGTTAAAATTGATGGACAAGAAATATCTAAAAGAGGGTATTTCCAATATCTTGAGTCGATAAACAAGGAAAGTGGAGAGATTGAGGAGGATGTTGCACATAGAATTAAAGTTGGGTGGACAAAGTGGAGATGCGCAACAGAGTTTTACGTGATCGTTGCATACTAATGAAGCTAAAGGGGAAGTTCTATAGAACAACTGTGAGACCAGCTTTGCTTTATGGGACAAAATGTTGAGTCAAGAAACAACATAACTGTAGGAAGAATGTAGCTGAGATGAGAATGCTGAGATGGACGAGTGGCAAGACAAGAAATGATAGAATTCGAGAGAACTTAGATGTGGCTTCAATAGGTGATATGATGAGGGAAAGTAGATTTAAGAGGGCGGGCCATGTACTACACAGACCCAATGTAGCATCAGTTAGGCGGTACGATTTTGTTCAAGTGGAAGGCTCTAAAAGGATAAGGGGAAGGCCCAAAAAGAGGTGAAGGGAAGTAGTGAGAAAAGATATGCGAATTAATGGCCTTACTGAGGGTATGGCTCTTGATAGAGCAGAATGGCATAATAGAATTTGTGTAGCCGACCCCAAATAGTTGAGATAAGTCTCTGATGATGACGGTGATATTTTTGTTATGTTATGTTTATTTGCATCTAAATTTGCTACTTCTTTTCGTGAAGCAATAAATTCCATTAGGCATCGGGAAACACAGGAGGAGAAACAAAGCAGTTTAGAGACCCTACGAACTCAGGGTGTTTCTAGTTACACTCATATTAGTACATGAAAGTTATCTAAGACCATGTCTAATAATGTATGGAGATCCCAAAAGATACGCTCCTAAAAGCCACCGGATAACTACGAGAAATGCCTTCAATTATCATACGGTTAAGAAAGATTCCATAAAAAATCCATGGTCCCTGAAATATAGCATTGATCTAAGGTTGTTATTTGTTTACCCCAAAGAGCTATATCAAAGATGTAGTGGGACCCTGGCAAATCTAGATTTTTTATTGTGGTACTACTAATATTTATATTCAAATTTCAGGAGGTGGAGAGATGACTAGTTTGGTGTTGACTTGGGATACAATCCCCTGCTCATTCTCTACCAGGAGCCATGGATCCCCACTCTGGTGGTGTCTTCCAAAGCAGGCTTTCAGTTCTTCTGAGGAATTATTTCTCATTGACATCCTGTCTAGTTGCCAGGGATTGTCCTTATGCATCCCTTTAAGAATGTGGCCGTTAATATCCACACCTTTCAAATGACTGCTGGTTTACTCATCCAGCACAGTGACAGGCCCTCCTTTTCCATCTCATAAAGGAAGTATTGTGCATAAGATCTAAAATAGATTGAAAAAAAAGCCAATTAACTTTGAATAGTCTTGGATTGCCTTCCTCAATTTCCAGGTATAAATACCTTTCAAATAAAGCAGTTGATGATCCATCACTTCCCCTGTCCATTAGTTATACTAGAACAGCATGTTAAATAGATATTTGAAGTGCCTATTGCACAAGAATGTATCTTAGCAGGTGAATCAAGAGCGGGGAGCCAACCTAAAAGGTCATGTTTCGCCCCCAACTTGCTCACATAGAGCAACTCTTTCTTCTTGCTGCTCAAGTTCCTTGCAGAGACTTTACTAAGAACTAGCAAGATTTGGCTTCCTAAATTATCTGATCTTATCAACCTTCCTTTCTGATGTAAGTTCCCTTTAGTGATCGAAGGCGTTCAACTATTTGTTGTAACGTCTGTCTCCTTTTTAAGCGGTTGCTCAACCACAGCTATCATTTCGGGAAAGTGAACTTCCAGTTTGTGGTTCTCCCTGCACTTAAAAGTTCACATATGATATGACTTCCAAACATACCCCTTGTGAGTTGTCTCATATGCATTTTCATGGGTCTGTCCTTTTTGGGAAAGTGAACGTCCAGTTTGTGGTTCTCCCTGCACTTAAAAGTTCACATATGATATGACTTCCAAACATACCCCTTGTGAGTTGTCTCATATGCATTTTCATGGGTCTGTCCTTTTTCAAGCAGCTTTTATTCTTAATATTGCTGTCAATGTTGTACTAGATTCAGAATAGGAATTAGCTGGGATTTTATCTAATGAGTTGTTTAAATGGGGCAAAAGCTTATTCAATGTTGACTTCGTAATGCATGCCTTGTCAGTGGTCATGTCTGAATTTTCTTGATGTTTGTGTCCCTTTTCATTGCACCTGCCATTCTTTACTTAATATTGGTGTTGTCAATGTTGGTTCCCTGCATAGAATGGGCATTAGCTGTGTTTAGATAAACCATGGGAAATTTTATTTTTGTGATGCCATTTTGCTAAAATGCAAAGGCTTTTTTTTTTTTATGATAATTAACATATCTCAAATTCTCTCTATTTTGGATATAAAAGTAAGAGGCTTGATATAGCAAACCAACTTGTTGTTGATACAGTTCTAATCAACCCACCTTTGCCTCCACAAAAAAAAAAAGGAACATAAAGAGGTTGTACTAATGTAATAGTTTGGTCCTAGTTTGGAATGGATCTTTATGTCAGAAAACCGAGCCTCATTTGACCCGAATCTTTCTTTTATACTACTACAAAATCATCAAATGATTCCAGCAGAATTATACCTGGTGATGGAAGTGTCATCACTCAAAACGAGTTTACAGCACCTGCTATGGGAGATAGAGCCAACACGGGGCTTTCCGGAGGTGCTAACTGGAGCCCTATTCTTGTAAACTGGATCATTAAATTTCTCACAACCACCCCAATGGATTTATTTGAGATCAGACAATACCTATGAGATCATACAATGTCTTCCTAGTGATTAGTCTACAATGCCTTCCTAGAGTGATTAGTTTGAAAGCCAAGAGTGCAGCTGTGTGATAATATTCTTGAAAAAATCCACTAGCTAGAAATACATATTCTAGATTCAAATATGAGAGGCACTGTTCACTGTGCAACAATCTGCAACAATCTAATCTGCAGCAGCCCATATAAATGTACAAAATTTGCTGACAGGGTTGATATTTTGCAGCCATACTCTTCACAGGAAGCAATTCCTCCATCAAGAAATTCATGTTGGATTTTGGCAAGACCTACTTGTGGGGAGAGGCCATTGGGAGAAAGGTCCCAAGGCTATTGAGGGTTGCAGTTATCGCTGAAAGCTCAAGTGAGTGAATATTTTTTGATGGCTGGATGCAGAGGTCTGGAGAACTCAGTTTTAGAGAGCTCTTGAGGAGGAGAATATGGTTTACTTTT